GGTTTTGGGGTTTTTTGTTGTTGTACTTTTTCTAGTTCTTTGAGCTTTGAGATTAAGTTGTTTCTTTGAGTTCTTTCTTGTTTCTTGATGTGAGCCTCTATTGCTATATAGTTTCCTCTTCTTACTGATTTTGCTGCGTCCCATACATTTAGGAAAATGATGTCCTCCTTGTCATTCAACTTAAAGTATTTTTTTTAGTTCTTCTTTGATCTCCTTGTTAGTCCAGTGGTCTTCCAGTAGTGTGGGTTTCAATCTCCATGAGGTAGGAGAATTCCTTGCCTTCTTTTTATGGTTTATTTCTAGTTTGATGCCTTCATGGTCAGAGAAGATGGTTAGTATGATTTCAGTCTTGGTGTATTTGTTGATGTTTGTCTCACCATATATATTTTTATAACCACTCACAATCAATACAAAAAGGAACAACAAATAAAGGATATTTTCTAATATTTTCATATATATGCTTTAGACCATTGTTCATTTTTTTATAATGTTTGATTTCTCTTCCTAGCTGTAGTCCCTTTAGAACTCCCACCACGAAGTCACCTGTGAACTATCACCACAGTCTCTTGTGCTCTCCCCAACCATATTTTAAACCCTCGCCCCCCATTGCTGAATGTCTCTGACTTATAGTTGTCTGCTAGTTTTATCCTTTTTCCCCTGATCCCTTATTTAATTCCCCTATATTCTTCCTATAAATGAAACCATACATTATTTTTATTTTTCCTTCTAATTTATTTTACTGAGCATAATTCCTTCCAGCCCCATTCATGTTGCTGTGAATAGCATGAGTTTATATTCTTTGATTGCTGAATAGTATTCCATTGTGTGAGTGTATATATATATATATATATATATATATATATATATATATATACACACACACATACACACTTCATCTTCTTAATACAGGTCCAACCTGTATTATGTAGTCATCTATTTTTGGGCATTTAGGTTTTTTCCAAATCTTAGCTATTGTAAATAGTGCTGCAATTAACAAAGGAGTGAAGGTTTCTTTTCCAATTAATGTTTTTGTGTCCTTTGGGTAGATTCTTAGGAGTGGAACTGCTGGGTGCAGTGCCAGGAAGGCATAGAGCAGGTTTTCTAAGATTGGAGCAGACCGGATAAAAGAGAGTCCTGGAGCCCTTGGTGGTTTTCTCAGGCTTTTACTGAGCTTTTACATGTAGTGCAGATACCAGGTACATGACAGGCAGGGTTGCTGGGGTGTGGAGGAGGCAGAAGGCTGGCAGGCCTCCCAGCCCTGGTGAATCTTCACTCTTTCTGGGCTCTCTAGCTTTCTCTCCCCTTTTCTTTCTCCTGTTATCTCTCCTCTGTAGCCAGTTCTCTCTTGGTGAATATATCAATACTGCAGCCATGGCCCACAGAAGTAACCAACACAACTAAATATAACAATGTAACAAAATGCAGGTGCCCACCATGAGGCATGCAATCCTAATGGCAGCAGGGCATAAAAGGCTGACAATCATTTACCCTACAAGGGGTCATATAGTAGCTCCATTTTTAGTACTTTGAGGAACCTCCACACAGCTTTCCGTAGTGATTGGACCAGTTTGCATTCTTACCATCAGTTCCTTTTTCTCCACATCCAAGCCAGCATTTGCTGTTGCCAGTTTTTGATTTTTTGTTTTTTTTTTTTTTCTTTTAATTGGTGTCATTCTCACTGGTGTAAAGTGGTATCTCCTTGTGGTTTTGAATTGCATTTCCCTGGTTATAAGTGATATTGAATATATATATATTTTTAAAGATTTAGTTATTAATTTATACAAGCACTGGGTACAGTCAGAAGTGCGGGAGGTTGAGAGAACCCACCAGAGCCAAAACGGAGAGCAGAACAGGCAGACTGACAAAGTACACTGCTGAGGGGAGCAGCGGGTGGCAAGAGAGGTCTGCGTGCCATGTGGAACCCTCACCCGGCAGCAGGGGATTGAACCAGCGCTGCAGAGGCTGCAGGCAACTTCACAACCCAGCACTCAACCGCTGCACCACTGGGGAGGCCCTGAATATTTTTTATATACCTGTTGGAGCTCTGCATTTCTTCTTTGGAAAAGTGTCTTTTTAGCTCTTCTCCCATTTTTGACTGGATTGTTTGTTTTGTTTTTGTTGAGTCATGTGAGCTCTTGGTAGGTATTTGAAATAAGTCCCTTATCAGTTGTATGGAGTGCAAAATTTTCTCCTGATCAATAGGATGTCTCTTTGTTTTGTTATTGTCTCTTTTGCTGTACAGAAGCTTTTCAGTTGGATGTACTCCCAGCTATTTATCTTTTCATTTACTTTCTTTGCTTTGGGGGATGAGTCTTTAAAGAAGGTTCTGAGATGTATACCATGGAGTGTTTTGCCTATTTCTTCTATATATTTTATGGTTTCAGGTCTTATGTTCAAGTCTTTTGTGCATTTTGAATTGTTTTTTGTACATAGTGTGAGGAAGTGGTCTAGTTTCATTCTTTTGCATGTGGTGGTCCAGGTTTCCAAGCACCATTTATTGAAAAAACTATCCTTGTTCCATTGCATATTCTTTGATACTTTGTCATAAATTAGTTGCCCATATATGTGTGGCTTTATTTCTACGTTTTCAATTCAGTTTCACTGTTTCTGTGTGTCTCTTTTTTTTTTTTTTTTTTTGTTCAGGTACCATTGTGTTTTAATTATTCCATGAGTAAATAATTTCTTTTAAATATTTTATTTATGCATACAAGAGCTAGGGTCCAGGCCAGAGGTGTGAGGGTTGAGAAGATTCACCAGAGACCGAGTGGGGAACAGAACAGGCAGACTGATTGAAATATATGGAGGAGTACAGTGGACAAGACAGGAGAAGTCTGCTGTGCCATGTGGGTAGCTCCCTGGCCATCTGGGGATCAAACTCATGTTGCAGAGGCTACAGATAGTTTCACAGTGCTGTCTTAACCCCTTGTGCCACCAGGGAGGCCCCAATTTTTCTTTTTGACTTAAAAAAATTCCCATGTGGTCATTTGAGTTCCATTTTAAATGACAGTTTCATTCTGCTATTTTGACATGTGGTTTTGTTTAATGAACCAAACATGTCAAGCAGGTGAGATCCATTTTAAATATGGTCCATGCATTAAAATAATATGAGAGATGATGCAGATTGCTTAAAATCAATAAGAAAATAAAATTAAAATGATAAGAAAACAATAATTACAAAGCTAAGTTTGTTATTGCCATTGGAAGCATACTCACTCTGATTATTTCTGAGAAAGAATTTATATTTCCATATGGGTTAGCTATATTAACTATTATTTCAACTTGACTTTTAAAAGACAACTGAATATCACATTTCAGTTGGAACTTGTTGGATTTTGACTTTTAAAACTTAATATTTTATGTTTAAATACAAAGTATATTTTTTAATTTCAAAAGGCATCAACATCAAAGCTTTAGAACATAGAAAGTTTTGTTATTTCTGCTTACACATTTTATTAGATCTTGGGATGGACTCATCAACATATTTAAAAATAATGAGGCATGTTATCAAACACTGAAAACTTCTTTCTTCGCTCATGATAGTGAAGCCAGAAGAACATTTTGACTGCAACTAATACTACATTTTTCTTTATAACTTTAAATGCTGGGGAATTATTTCTGGTTTTAAGTTTATTTTGAAATTGGAAACAGCAAAGTTAGCTCCCAAAGTCCATGTGAACAGGATACTACATAGTTCTTCAGATATTTTGGAACAAAGTACTTTTTTTAAAAAATCTGCCAACAACTACAAGCATGAACAGATAGGTCCACATTTTCATGTCATTTTGTTACAGATACATCTCTCTGAAGGGCAGAAGTCATTTTCCCCACCCTCATTCACATGCAAGATTCTTGGATGATACTCCCTGAGCAGGGGAACTGCTGGCAACCAGGGCAGAACTAACACCTGGGCTATGTAACACAGACAGCAGGTAGACTCCTGGGCTCTTGCTTCTCTGACTTGGACTTGGACCCAGGTACTTGGGGCCAGGGGAGGACTTAGAAGAAACAGATAGAGGTGAAATATAAAGAGACACTTGAACAAGACTCATGTGTGAGAAACTTGTGGGAAGGCTGTCCTTAGTAGCTACAATGGCTGTTGTTATCTAGATTTTACATTTTCTTTTGCTCCTTTGTCCCAGATTTCCATAGCCCTTTTTTGCTGTTCTCCACCAGAAGATGCCTTAGACTTGTGTCAAGCTTTTGGGCCTCAGCTGACCTGCTTTGGTTCAACACTCTGGCTGGGCACTTGCCCACAGGGGTTGGGGAAATTGGGGAGTATTACTGGGGAACTATTATTAGGGATATCCTTTCTTCTCCTTTTTCTCTATGCACTCCAGTTCTATTAAATGTCTTAAGAGTCATACCTCTTAACAATTTGGGGTCCCTTGGTGCCCCTTGGTCTCACAATGAATATATTTATAATCACTTATCTATTATTAGGTGAAAGATACCTAAAGTTTACTTAATATTCAATTCCAAGTATAAGGACACCTGCCGTCTGTTGTATTTTAAATACTATAATATTTCCAAAATTACAAGAACTTTATAGCAACACCTTTTGTTAAGGTAAAAAATAGTTTCAATGTTTCTGATAGAAAATTCAGATTGCTCCTGAATTTTAGACTTCACTGTATTTTAATTTCTTATCTCACAAATAATAATGATGAGTAAGGGAAAGACATATATTGTATAATTTAACTTTGAAGACTCTTTTCCTCATAGTATTCCTATATTCCAACCACATACAAGTAGCATGCTTTCTAAAATAAGATTCTTTCACTGAATTATACTGAACACTCCGGAAGCTAGAGTCCAATGAAAGTTCACTGCCCTCCAGCAAATCTGACCACTACCTAGGTTCCAGATCTTGAGAGGTCTTAGAGGGCAGGGTGAGGGGCACCCCAGAACCCCCAAACCAACCCACTCTAAATAGGGTCTGCCATCCATTGCGTCAAGACAAAACATACTCTAATGCATAAAACTTTCAATGGAAAGGAACTTTAATACAATTTGTGTACAATAAAGGGAAAGACAAAGAACATAGTTTCCAAATCAAACATCCAAGGTTACCATCCCCTCTTGCGCAAATACCCAGGAAAACAGGGTTGGCCCAAAGTAGGGCCACTGAGGCCTGAAAGCCTGTCACAAATCTAAAGTACCTCCTGGTGGGGACCCATAGAAAGGAGCATAAGGGGTCAAGCATGTCTGGAACAGAAGGAACAAAATCAAAATCAAGATGAAAGTTACCATTGTTAACCTCCCCATGGGTCTCTCACCCACATTTATTTCAAACAGTTCAAGACCAAGAAGGAAGCACAGCTTCTTCACATATCTATCCATAACATGTGCTTCCTCCAGGTCCCCTTCTGCTCTTCAGCCTTCTTCCTTCCTTCTCCCAGCCGCCTCTCCAGCTTCCTCCTCCCTGCTCAGTGCCACCCTTCCTTGGATGGGGCAGGGAAGTTGGAACCTCCCCTTTCCCTGGGACCATCTTGTTACAAAGAAAGTGATGAAGACAGAATTATACAATTTGACAAATTTATCACAATTTTTCTAGATGTTTCATCTAAGTGCAAAATCCCAGGAATTTTGAAATGAAAGATTTTCCAAAATGACCACATATAAAACAACAACAACAGAGGTAAATGACTTTCTTTTTTATTTCCTCATATGTTATATCAAACGGGTAGCTTACAAAATAAGAAATATATGTTAAGATAGTATAATTATGTGCTTTAAAGTCTTTAAATTTCATCATACCAAGGAGTGTTAGAAAATTAAATGGTAAAAGATCTTCAGTATGCCTAAGACTTAAATGAACTAACTTACTCTGACATCAGTGGTTTCTATGTCAGTATGATTACAGGTTAAAAGTGGAAGTCCATTGCCTAATTGCCTTTTCCTGAGAAATCCCCATTGGGAACTTAAGAGCAGAAAATATGGTTAGAATTTCTCCATGGATTCAGCAGCTATTCATGGGTCTTTGCAAACTGGATAGCAGGTTTCTTTTGCCAAATCAGGACTGATACATGGTGTTGAAGAACAAGTTTCCACCATACAGGTGACCTGGCCACTCTGAAAGGCAACATTCAAACATTATCCCCAGGTTTCTCACAATAAAATTACTTTTTATTTATTTAATTTATTTAATATCTATATACATATACACACACTTTACATCATTATTCATTTTTGGACAGTTTGCTTTCTCCTCTCAGATGTAGTCCCCATAAAATTCCCACCAAGTCACCTGTGAACTATTACTTTTTAAAAAGTTTCTATTAATATATAACCTGATATACTATACCAATACAATAAAAATTACCCCCAGTTTTAGTTAATTTACTGTATAGTTTCTATTAATCCTTGGTTTCTACACATTTTGCAGCATGACATGCAAGGCTAGTCAAATGCAGACCTAAAAATGTTACCTAATAAGCTGTATTGCTAGGGTTCTGGTAATTTATTAAGTCCTTCCAGGCAATGTTTTTATGAGTCTGGAGAATAATACCGACTCAAAACCCTGCCTCAGCTTACTTATGTGACTTTGGGTGAAGTTCATAAATTCCCTGAACTTCAAAAAACTCATAGGGAATCTGGCAAATGGTCACTGGATAATAGCCATTTAAACAGATAATCATAAATCTCAAAACCTTGACATTAAAAATATGTCTAGTATCTAGTCACAAAAGAACTTCTCTTGCAGGCGTGTTTCAAATGGCAGGCTAGCAGAAGTAAACCAGGAGGAGGAAGATGGAAAAACCTAGCAGCACACACCTTACAGATGCAACTAACACAGTCTTCTTTCATCCAGCATTCATTGTCTTTCCTTTGAATTCCTTTATCATCTCTACATCCTGCCTGCCTCAGGCGTGCCTCCAGCTTGTTTATCTAAAATAAGGAAGTGGGAATTGAAATAGCAACAAAGCTATAAGAAACATATTTGGATGAAATACTCTATTCTATAAAAACATTGAAGACAAAAGAAACTTCTCTGTCAATATAATTCCCCTTAACATCTTTACCCAAAATTTAATGACTCTGAATTATTCAGTGTCTAAGCTACTATTATTATTAGTGTCAAAGCAAGTAAATAGTATTTATGATTGGGAAATATCAAATATGGGTCTGATATCTGAAATACTTCATTTATAAAAGAAATGGAATTAACATCAAATGAGTAAAAGGACAGCTTTAGAAAATCTTAGTATGCATAAATATTAACTAATAAGTATTTTATATATTTTTCTCACCTAGTTTATCATAAACAATATTCATTGAAAAATTATTAAGCTTCAAAAATGAAGCAATCCATTCAAGGTCTCACAGAATGTACAGTTTGATTTTTAAAGATTTATTTTATTTATTTATGCATACAAGAGCTAAGGTGTAGGCCAGAGGTGCAGTGGGCTGAGAGTATTCACCAGAGTGGGGAGCAGAACAGGCAGATCTACTGAAATACACTGCTGAAGGGAGCAGCCAGTGAGACATGGGGTCTGCAGTGCCATGTGGATTAGCTCCCTGGCCAGGGATTTAACTCACGTTGCAGTGTTTGGAGATCACTTGATAGTGCAGAGACTTAACCCCTTGCATCACCAGGGAGGCCCAGAATTTACAGTTTGAAAGAAAGACAAACCAATAAACCATAGCTATAAGCCAATTAGATAAACAGGAAAAGGAAACCAGGGAGAAAGAGAAGACTCATCACACATGGTTCTGCCTCAGGGAATCTGAAGAGGACCCACACAGGATAAAGAATTTGAATTGAGAGTGAAAAATATGACTGATTATTTCAGGAGAACAAACAGATAAAAGGTGTTTAAGACAAATGGAAAAACATCATATGCCCAAGTATAGGGACTACAAGGAAGTTGGTATTTTAGGAATATAAACTGTTGTGGGAAGTGGAAGACATAGGGGCAACAAAGAAAAATAGGTCCTACAACCATATAAATTAATTTAGATGTTATTATCTGTGAACAATGGGAATAACTCCTATGATCATTATAATGGCAATATGAAATAGATAAATTGATGAGAGTTGGAACTGAAAGCAGAGAAACTGGCTAGTAGACCTATATGAACTTCAGTGAGGAAGGTAGAAAAGAGGATCAGTATGTGATTTAGCAGAAAGAGGTTCTTGGTGAATGTGGGCAGAAATAAGAGATAAGAAAGCAGGATGTCTCCAAAATTCCAGTTTCCATATGGTACATAAATAATTATATTTGCCATTATCCTAGAAATACAATGTAAAAAAGTAATAATCCATGGAGATATGAGAGCGATTTTTAGAAATGATTAAAATAATATAATTTTGCAAAAGAGCCCACATTCAAGAACATGAATTGTTCCATAGCTACACTGCTAAGGATTGAATTCATATGTTGAAGTCCTAACCCTTAGTATCTCAGAATGTGATGATAGAGACAATGTACTAAAAGAAGAAAGTTAATGATTGGCTAGACAGAGGGAGCCTTATCCAATATGCCATGTGTCCTTATAAGATGATATTTGGACAGTCACATGCAGTGGGAAGACCATGTGAAGACACAGGAAGACAGTATTCTACAGCCAAAAGAGAGACTTCTCAGGAGAAATCAACTCTGTCAACATCTTTATCATGGACTTCCAGCCTTCAGAACTATGAGAAAATAAATCTCCATTCTTTAAGCTACCAGTCTGTGGTCTCTGTTATGGCAATCTGAGCTGATCAATACTTGTAACATTATAACTAGATACCAGGCCTCCCCGGTGGTGCAGTGGTTGAGCGCTGGGTTGCAAATCTGCCCGCAGCCTCTGCAGCGCCGGTTTCATCCCTGGCTGCTCCCCCGCCACCAGAGGACGGTCCCACATGGTGCGCTAGACCTCTCCTGCCGCCCGCTGCTCCCCTCTGGTCCTTCTGCCTGCTCTGCTCCCGCTCTGGCTTTGGTGGATTCTCTCACCCTCCCACACTTCTGACTGTACCCAGTGCTTGTATAAATAAATAAATAAATAAAAATAAAATAAATCTTTAAAAAAATAAAAATAGAAAAATATATAACTAGACACCATAGTCTCAAATACCATGGCCTTTCCTTTGTATTACACTCTAGCTATGAACCATTATCTTTTAAAACTAATATTCCTTTCAATTCATCTGAACCCTGTTACTTGTGTAGAAATTATACAATAATTTCAAATACTTGACCAAGATTATTATACATATCAGAAATACAGACACCAATGTTTTAACATCAATAACATTACCCATACGTGATAAAGACATTCTTAACAAGGAATAGTGAGAATTTTTCACAACTTGAATAAGAACATTTCTAAAAATAAGATGCTTCATTATAAGACTGAGGACAAAGAAAAATTGTCCTTTATCTCCCTTATTATTCAACAATTTACTGGCAGTCCTAAATAATACTATAAGACAAGAGCAAAAAATACAGTAAATAGATGGAAAGTAAGAAATAAAACGATCTTTATTTACACATGACATGTTTGTCTATATGAAAAATTCCAAAGAATCCATTAATCTGTCAAAGTTTTTCATATGTTCACAAAGTTCTACAAACATAATCACAATCCAGTTTTAGGCCATTGCATGACTGCAAAAAGACACTCACTTCCATTAGTAGTCAACCCCCCCTTTTTTTTTTTTTAAAGATTTATTTATTTATTTAATTTATTTATACAAGCACTGGGTACAGTCAGAAGCGTGGGAGGGTGAGAGAATTCACCAGGGCCAGGGCGGGGAGCAGGGCAGGCAGATGTGCACCGCTGCGGGGAGCAGCGGGCGGCAGGAGAGGTCTGCGCACCATGTGAGACCCTCCTCTGGTGGCAAGGGAGCAGCCAGGGATCGAACCGGCGCTGCATGGGGATCGAACCGGCGCTGCATAGGCTGCGGGCAGCTTCGCAGCCCAGCGCTCAACCGCTGCGCCACCGGGGAGGCCCATTAGTAGTCAACCCCTTTTGCTCTCCAGTTCCACACACAACCACCGTGCTACATTCTACCTCTAGATTTGCCTATGGGGTATATCCTATATCATGCACGTTTGTAGTGGAAGTAAGGCCACAAGGCAGGATCTCTATGATCCTATCCAGACGGGTAAAGGAGAGTTCTGGAGACTTCAGTGGCTTTTCAGGCTTTTATTGCCATTTTACCAGGTACATGTCAGGCAGGGGTGCTGGGGGGCTGAGAGGCTGGTAGGGCTCCCAGGCCCCCGCAAGTCTTCACTCTTTCTGGGCTCTCCAGTGTTCTCTTGTGGCTTCTATTTCTCTTCTGGTTCTCTGCTGGTGTTCTCCATTCTACTCTGGCATCCTGACCTTACATGCCCAGTCTCTTGGCTCAGGTGTGCCTATCTATGCAGTCCACACCCTACTCCAGGTGTCTGCCATCAAGATGCACTTAGGACCACATTAATCTAATGGCAGGAGGGCAGAAAAGGCATTCACCCTACAATGTGGTTGTGGTCTTTTCAGTCACAGCTTCTTTCAATTGACATAATATTGTAAGGTTTTTCTGTGTTGTAGCATATGTCAGTACTTCATTCTTTTCTATGTCTGAATACCATCATTGCATTATATCACATGTTGGGCATCAGCTGATAAATATTTGGGTTGTCTCTATCTAGGATTTGAAAAAATCTGGCATAAATATTTGGGTCCAAATTGAACAGAATGCTTAACAGTTTATCAGGCTCAGAGTCTGATGAGTCAACACTGTCAGAATTCACAGGGAGATGTTCTGGGGCATCACAGCTGGGCCTGCATCTTCTTAGGACTCAGCTGATTCAGCACTGGCTTGGCTACATTCATCCCCCTTGACCCTTGCTTCTGGTCAGTGCCCCGTGTATCCATCTCCACTGCTTTTTTTTTTTTTTTTATAGTTTTTTTTTTTTAAATAGAGGCATTTTTTTTTTTTATTTATTTATCTGTTTGTTGTTTATACATGCACTGGGTACAGTCAGAAGCGCGGGAGGGTGAGAGAATTCACCAGAGCCAGAGCGGGGAGCAGAGCAGGCAGAAGGACCGAAGTACACTGCTGAGGGGAGCAGCGGGCGTCAGGAGAGGTCTGCGCGCCATGTGGGACCCTCTTCCGGTGGCCGGGGAGCAGCCGGGGATCGAACCTGCGCCGCAGAGGCCACGGGCAGCTTAGCAACCCAGCGCTCAACCGCTGCGCCACCGGGGAGGCCCTCCACTGCTGTCTTAACTGCTGATTCTCAACAGTAAGGTCATGACTTTCTCCAGTAAGAGCTGGTTTCTGGTTCTCTTCTAGGAGTTCTACTACTACTCTTCTACTATTTCTTTTGGTCTCTGGCAGTCTCTTGCCTGTCTGGGGAAACCCGCTGGCCGCCAGGCACTTGACTGTGACTGGACAAGCACCGTGAGCACAGTCCAGCCTGAGAGCTCCTGCCCTGGCGGTAGTAGCGACAGGCTCGCTGAACAGAAGCAGCACTCTGGGGTTCCCGAGCAGCAGGGCTCTGCACAGCTGCCACCGCCACTATGACTGACACCACCACCATCATGGCAGGAGGCTGTCCACGTGAACATGTGCTGCTTGCCCTAACTTCTTCAGATGTGAGTAGAAACATCTATTCAGGTTTGTTGCTCATTCAATTAAACATTCAACTTTATTTCTTAGAGAAAATCTCTTACAAAAAGTTTCCTAAATAAAAATGTAACAGCAAGCATAGAGTTCCTAGTTATCTCTCCCTCCTGCCGTTCATTTCTAATTCTTTTTATTTAGGTTCTCTCTCTTTTCTTAGTGAGCCTAGCTAAGATTTCTCTATTTTACTTATCCTTTCAAATAATCAATTATTTGTTTCATTTATTATTCTGGAATTGTGTTTTGTCTTTGTAGTATATTTTTGGTTTCTATTTATTGTATTTCTGCTATAAATTTTAATATTTCCTTCCCCACCATGATTTTTGATTTCATCTTCTTTTACTAATCCATTCTATTATACTCAGCAATTCTTCTGTGATAGAATATCATTTGACACTCAAAACCTCCCTGAAAGTTTAGATGAGGACACTCTTCCATGATTAAATTAACTGTCTGGGACAATCAATAAAAGAAGGCAGAACTTTCTGGTGGCAGAACCTGGGCTCTTGCATTATTCCCACAGTACTTTCCAGTTCAAAGATTCTGATGAAATGGATGAAATTGTGCATTTCAGAATAATACTGATGTCTAAGAAGTATCTGACTTGGAACCATGTCTTGAAAGAAATCACACTTCCATTTCTGAAAAAAAAACTTTACATTGTTATTTGTAAAGGATTCTCTCATTGAATCCCTCTCAAATTTTAGGAGGAAAATTTAAATAGATCATGAACCAGACCATCTAAGGAGATGAGCAAAAATCGAGAGAAGTGTGGAGACTTTGGTTTTAACAGAAATTTTTCAGGAAATAATAGTCCCTAAGAGGCTTCTTGGTTTCCATTAAAAAAAAAAAAAAGGTGGGGGGAGGAGGAAGGGAAATTGTTGCAAATTATCTACATCTGTAGAGGTGAAGCTGGCATCCAAACAGATTTGCTCTGAAATGCACTAACAAAGAAATCAGTAGCTCACCGGGCAGAGATCCCTGGCAACCAGAACTGTGTGTCCTGAAAGTGTTGGCATTAGGTAGAAAGGAAAAGGTTAACCAAATCTGTGAGAAGTGAGTTTCACGCAACCCCAATTTCCCCTCATTCAGCTCGCAGGATATGCGTGGTTATTATTCTTGAATTGTGTTATCTTTGAAGAGTTATCAGGCAGATTTTTTTTTTTCAATTTAGTTAGTGTAATCTATACAATAGGGCAATTTTCTTGGGGGAAAATCAAACCTGTCCTCTCAGCGTTTTGATGGTCTCTTGAATTTCTGCTGCAAAATTGCTGAAATCCTGGGCAAATTTTGTTTTTTCCAGAAATGTCACATCTATAGCATCTTCGTCCATGTACAAATTATCTTGTTGCCTGTTTATACAAGGAATAAAGACAATGTTGAAAAACAAAAGACGGTTGAGGATAAGAAACACAACAAATATTCCTTAGGTATTGGGAATATACAAGACATTGTGATTGTAGATCTGTATAACCATAAGGAGAAAAAGGTATTTCTGGAGTTAGAAATTAAAATTAAATAGAATTAATTACAGTGTCACATCTGCTTCATGTAGTTATTTAAAATGACAAGGGAACATTTCTTATGAACTAAAGGGAATGCCCTGTCGTATTACATATGCATTTGACATAATATTTAGATTCCAAAGTATGTTTTTTGCTAATTAATTGTTCATTTCATTTTCCATCATGAAAGAGCAACGGCAAATTGCTTTTTACATGTAGTGTAGCATCCAGGTTGACAAGAATTAAATTAAGAATATTCTGTTTGGTGAAAGTCTAATCTTAAACTAGATATAAAATAGTTCAGTGCTACCAATAATAAAAGGAAATAAAACACCTTGCTAAGAAAAATAAGTCAGAAGGAGAAAGACAAACAGTGTCACTTGGATGTGGAATATTGAGAAACCAAACAAAGGGTCAGATAAAGCCAAACTCAAAAACTACTCCTTGAAAACTGACTATAAAACTGAAGCAGGGGCCTCGCAGGTGGTGCGGGGAGTTGAGTGGTAGCACTATAGGGCTGTTGGCAGTGACTGCAGCATAAATTCGATCCCTGGCCAGGGAGCTACCCACATGGCTCACCAGACCTCCTAAAAGCAGTGAATTTCTTTATTTTGTAGATCTGCTTGTTCTGCTTCCCACTCTGTCTCTGGTGAATCCTCTCACCCCATCTGCATCTCTGGCCTACACCCCAGCTCTTGCATGCATAAATGAAATACATCTTTAAAAAATTAAATAAAATAAAACTGAAGCATTCACAGGAAAGTTTAAGGGAAGGTGTGAGAACAAAGTGGGGAAGAAGCACAATGAACTGTAGTGGAGGACTCAGAGTGTTTTGGTGGCTGAATCACTGCGGTAACACCTTAAAGGGAAAGGAGGGATCCTTTTCTTTCAAAATACAAAGTATGAATAAACCAACACTACCTCTATAAAAAAAAATAAAATCAGAATCACTTGAAGAGAAAAGCCTTGGTTAGTTTTAAAACGTGTTTATTGGAGCCTACCTGAAATTCTTGCATTTTTACAAACTTTTCTTTATAGATTTGATTTAGTTGACATACTATCTGTGTCTCGTTTCCTATTTTTCCCAGGTTTTGTTAAGAGTTGCTCCTTTTGAAGAAGCCACTTTAACTTTCAAAATTGTTCCTGCTTGTTCTTCTTGAAATACATGTTCTATTGTTCAATGGGAGCTGTTTTCCCAAAACAGTATGCTTGATAAGCCTATAAAATGATTTCTAAATCAGAAATATGTTATAGAATTTACAGAGGGGAATTTAGAAAAGGAAAGCATTCTGAAAAATAGACATTACCAAAGCTTGTGCCTTAGTCACTTGATTCCTCTGTGTCCTCTAAGCCAGTATGAATTAAAGGAACCATGAGTCAGTATTGGCCACATGCCAGCTTTTTCAGATATGTTTGTTAAAATAAATTCAAGTGTACAGTGTTGATATGGATAATATTAATAAAAATGGATAACATTAACAGAAATGAGTTGACACTTTTTTTCACAGTACATTCTCTTATCTGGTGTTTAATCAAAAAGGATTTATCCACAAAGAAGTCTGGATGATTGAGGATAGAACCAAGATTCAGAGTGTGGAATGAGGCTATGTGTGCAGTGGCTGATGGGGCAAGACCAGATGCTGTACAATCAGAGTGCATATGCAGTTTAGCACATGGCTATTGGATGCATGCTGTAGGATAAATGGTTTTCAGGCTTTTCTGCCCTCCCACCATGAGGATTGCCCTGCCTGATGGGACACCTGCAATTGTTACATTGTTGCAAACTGTCTTGTTTACTTCTGTGGGCCATGGGAGGAGTATTGAGAGAGAGTCACCAAAAGAAGTAAGATAGGAAGGAGAGAGAAGGGGTGAAAGAAGAGGCCAGAGAAGCCCAGAGTGAAGACTTGCTGGGGTGTTGGAGGCCTCCTGGCCTCCTGCGTCCCCTTCTCCCCGCACCCTCCCTGCCATGTACCTGGTTGCCATGCTACATGTAAAGCTCAATAAAAGCCTGAGAAAGCCACCGAGGGTTCAAGGACTCCTCCGATACCACCCGTTCTGCTGGATCATAGATAACCTGCTCTGTGCCCTTCCTGCCACTACACATGCAGTGCATCAGGCATTATGCTAAGTAGGCATAAGGTTGATTTCACTCGGCTGCACATGGTCTATCTGAAAAGACCAGTTGAAAACCAAGCAGAAACAAAACATTAGTATTTGGAAGATCAATAAGGCAATGGATTGTGCCTGGCATCAGAAATGTAGGAGATGAGTCTGAGAAACTGTACAAAAAAGGCCTCCCTGGTGGTGCAGGGGTTAAAGACACAGCGCTATTAAGCTGTCCCTGCCAGTGGCCCACTTGGCGCAGAAGACCTCTCCTGTCTCGTCTGCTGCTCCCCTTAGCAGTGTATTTCAGTAGATCCACCTCTTTTGCTCCCCAATCTGTCTATGGGGAATCCTCTCAACCCCCCCCACCGTACCTCTGGCCTACAATCCACTTCTTGTATGAATAAATAAATAAATCTTGAGAAAAAAAGAAACTGTCAAAAAGTACTGTAGCTCTTTATCCATTTTAGAGACCATGGAGTTATGTGTCCTCTGTGCCAAGCTATCAGCTATGTACCAGGATGCACATCACATCATTAAATCTATACAGCAGTGTTATGAGACACTTTAACCCTTTTTCTTATTTCCAAATGTGCATTTTGCAGGTTGCTAACATGAGAAAGTTGTTAACAAGTTCATATTATGTCTTTATTCCATGAACAGCTGGGATACAAATTGGGATTTAAAATAATTAAAGAATCCTTCCTTAACCACTATACAGATTTTTCCCCATCCAAGGAGAGGTGAGGGCCATTTTCAGCATGATCAGGTTTGTGTTTTGAAAAATTAGAGAAGGAGAAAAGAGAGGAAGGAGATCTGTTAGGGAGATTATTGGAAAACACTTAAAAAGATGCTACTATTTGAAATTATTATTGAAAACATGAAATTCAGAGTAATACTTTTTGTGAGAAAAAGATAATATGTATCGAGTAAAACCAAATTTAATTCATAAATAGTTCATGAAAGGAAGGTTCAATTTGGGATGAATAGAAGGTAAATGCAAAAATGCTGAATGTACAGAAACCCTATAATTGTAATCACACTTACTTGATTTGTGCCCATTGGTTGAGGGGAATTGAGTCTTTGGTCTAAACAACTATGGCACTTATAAGAACAACAGAACAATCTAAAAGCATTGCTGAAATGTGTGCCATTACACAAAACAAAGATTTTTTAAATCTTTTTATTATCATATTAACAATAAACAGAATTCATGGTTGCACGTCTTGTACTAGAATAAAGTTTGATAAGATTGTCAGGAGGCTGAAAATGAAATCAACTAATCATTTACTTGCAGAGGCAACATATAAGCAGAACTTCAATGAGGCCACTTGAGTCTTAAAAGTTTAGGTAATAATATGCATTATATCTAACTTTAAAAAGCAAGTGAAAGTATGTTAGTGCAAGGACCTGGATGTGGCTATAGGGCAGAACAGGGCTAGATAATGGATGCTGTTATCCATACCACATGATTGTGGGCCTGACGGCAAGAACCAGACCCACATTAACATCTTGTAAGAAAAGGGAAATTGCCTGTAAATACATGGACAATTTCTGAGTATGCACTGGTATAGTCAATTAAAAACCAAATGAAATGCCAAACTAAATAAAGGGCCAATTGAATGTTTTCGGTCATTTCAATTATTTAAAGACAGTTCTGACTGGAGCTATCATTCATGATCAACATTTTAATTGCTTTGCTGGAAAAAGCTCTGGGAACACAAAGGGTAGGTTTAATTTCCTTCACCTCGAGTTTAAGATACTCCTCTTTTTGCCTCAATCTTCTTTAAAGAAATTTATTTAAATATTTAACACAGTAGGTCATTTAGACACTATTTTTATTCTCCAAATACAATTCACCTTTCTCTTTCAAACTTGTATACCCTTAACTTCTCTAGTGGCAGGATGGGCAAGTTATCTATGATCCAAGCAGACTCAGTAAAGGAGAGTCCTGGAGGCCTTGGTGCGTTTCTCAGGCTTTTATTGAGCTTTACATGTATTGCAGCAACCAGGTACACCCCAGGCAGGGGGCCAGCAGGCCTCCTAGCCCCTGGCAAGTCATCACTTTGGGCTTCTTTCTCTCTCTTCTGGTTTTCTTTCCCCACTTCTCCCTCTTGCCTCTCTCCTGCCTCTCTCCTGCTTCTGCTTCTCTTGATAACTACCGCAATACTCCCATGGCCCACAGAAGTAAATAAGACAGTTTGCAACAATGTAACAACTGCATCAAGCAGGGCAATCCTAATGGTGGGAGGGAAGAAAAGCCTGAAAAACCATTTACCATACAACTTCTATCAAAATCTTAGCCTTTCAGGGCCTCCCCATTGGCACAGCAGTTGAGCACTGGACTGCGAAGCTGTCCACAACCTCTGCAGCGCTGGTTCAATCCCCAGCCACTGGCGAGGGTCCCACATGGCACACAGACCTCTCCTGCTGCACCCGCTGCTCCCCTCAGCAGTGTATTTCATCAGTCTGCCTGTTCTGTTCCCCGCTCTGGTGAATTCTCTCACCCGCCTGCACTTAACTGTACCCAATGCTTGTATAAATAAATAAATAAATCTTAAAAAAAAAAAAAAAAAAAACTTAGCCTGTCCTTCAAGATAACCCTTCTGTACCACCTGTCTAAAGGTCCAGTAAGAATTAATTAGATTGAATTTGCCTGCACAGCATCTGATTGGATCTCATCTTAGTACTTACATGAGCACTTTTGTTAAATGAGTTAACACCTGTGTAGTGTTTAAAAGAATGTCTGACATATAGTGAGCACCATAAGAGTGTTTGCTCTTTTGTCTTTTATGGGATGTCTATAAATATATATATATATATATATATAACATCTGTATTATTATTAGATGCTATATATATTCTTAATTAACACAATTTCATGAGGTAGGTAATACTATATCCATTTTCCCTTTGTGGAAACTGTAAATAATGTGTACTTACAAAGTAGTGGAAACAGGACATGAACCTGTGTATCTTCCTATCACATGACATTAACCACTCTCCCTAGAATGTAAATCTAGGCCACCTAACTTATTCACTTACTTCTCAAGTTTCCACTCATAATTAAAAAAATTACCCCAAATTACATTTTGAATTTGACTAAATTATACCACATAGAAGGCAGTTGGAAGACAACCTTACTGCAGATAGTACCTTCAGTAGCGCCTCACCCATGCATTGTGAACCACAATGCTTACTTTGATAACTGATCACACAAGTATCTATTGAATTTTTATTCAGTGAAAAGGAGTTACTGGGGGCCTCCCGGGTGACGCAGCGGGTTGAGCGCTATGCTATAAAGCTGTCTGCAACCTCTGCAACGCTGGTTCGATACCCAACCAGCCAAGGAGAATCCCACATGGTGCAGCAGACTTCTCCCACCTGGCCCGCTGCTCCCCTCAGCAGTGTACTTTAGTATTTCTGCCTGTTCTGCTCCCTGCTCTGTCTCTGGTGAATTACTTCACCCTCCTGCACCTCTGTCCTGTACTTCGGTCCTTGTATAAATAAATAGATCTTTTTTTTTAAAAAAAAAAGGAGTTAATGGATATACCCATGCACAATGCACTTTTTCTATTTTCAGAAGGCTTCCAAGTCAATGGTGAAGGAAAGGGAAAATTCCCTAAAGTAATTATACATAAATCTAGTATATAAATATCACAAAATAAGTCCTAAAAGATTCCATAGGAATTAAAATGACATTTCTCCATTATATGAATTAAAAAGTATTGCATTTTGCTCACAAATTAAGCCTTCCTTGCAATACACCACATGGCTTAAAATAACCTTTTAATAGATATCATTACTGTCCTTATAAACAATATACTGAGTTTTATGTTTTTAAAATAATTTGAAAAACAGCAACATCCATAATGTGGTTTAAGGAGTCAAAAATAAAATGTATGATATGCAATTTTCTGTACCTATTGAAAAGAAGCTATAATCAAGCATGTCCTGGTTATAATGTTCCAAAAAATAGAAAAGAACCCATACATATTATAGAACTCATTTGTATTGTTCATCTTTATGTAGTTTATTCATAAATGAGTCAACTGTGGTTATCAATAAAATCTTTCAAATTATATATTTGAAGCAAATAATAGTATTTAGTTAAATAAATCTGATATTTCTATACATACCTGCTAGTAAGGTCATTGAAGCCCACATTTTCCTTGTCAGAATAATTGTATTGAGCAGAACGCTTCTTTGGAGATTCTTGTGTGGGCTCCCCAAACTCTCCTGTACTCAGACAGCCTGTTGGGAAAAATGCTATCATGTGAACATGATGGGACATGGGAGTCACCTTCTTGTGTGCATTATTGATTCTTTCTTTAATGAGAACACAATGAGTGTCACACAAATTGGGGTGTGTGTGAGAGAGTTAAGTAAAAAAAAATCTCAAATTATTTTCTTATATAACTGAAACTAGTATGGTTTATAGATCAACTATAACTCAAGAATAATAATTAATTTTAAAATATTTACATAGGTAGTTTTATGTTATGCATTTTACCACAATTACAAATATAAATGTGACATGAAAATCATTTTGTGAATAAATATGAAACTAAATTTCATGTGAAAACAGGTGGATTGGAAACTAAGACATTTTGAAGAAAACTGAAACAGTAGTATTACTACATATAAAATATTATATATGGTGATCAAAAAAGTAAAAGAGAATTGGTAATCATAGTGGAAAAAAATATTTAAAAATGGAAAATGATAATCCCAGAGAATATTATTCTGCAATCAAATTTAGAAAACTTGCATAGGGCAGCATATACTGCATGGAAGGAAGGGATTATTATATAACTTTTGTAAGGGGTAACTACCATATTATTTCTTAATAGAAGGCATGTAAAGACAGTTTAAGTAGTCACCTTACCATGTGTAATTTAAATTCAATAGCAATATGCCTTATCATGGATTGCTAAAGCAATCTGAAGATGAAATTATTAAATATAATTTTGTTACATTTAATAACAAAATAAATTGAAATTCTATAAAATTTAAAACCAAAAAGAAGTAAAACAATGTGCTTTGTAATATGAACTCAAAGACATCAAAACAGAAAATATACTAAGTGAAAATATCCCAAAATGATAACTGACAGGTCTAGAATATTGTAAATTGTTGTTATTTATTATTTTCCTTGATTTATACCTCTACATTTTGTTTAGTCTTGTCCTAGTTTACAATGAAAATGAATCATTATTATATTGAAAAGATGAGGGGAAAAAAAGAAGGGAAGAAAAATCAATTTTTCTTCCCAAGAGAGGGAAGAAAAACCAAAAATAAACAAATGAGCCTAACTGAATTAAAAAGCTTCTGCACAGGGGCCTCCCCTGGTGGCACAGGGAGTTGAGCGCTGTACTGTAAAGCTATCCACAGCCTCTGCAGGGTCAGTTCGATGCCAGCCGGCAAGGGTCCCAGATGGCACAGCAGACCTCTCCTGTCTCGTCCACTGCTCCCCTCAGCGGTGTATTTCATCAGTCTGCCTATTCTGTCCCCCACTCTGTCTCTGGTGAATCCTCTCATCCTCCTGCACATCTGGCCTGTACCCTGGTTCTTGTATAAAATAAATAAATAGGGGCAGACCGGGCGCGCAGGGAGTGCGTACCACATTGCCACTTTAGAACATGGGCATTTCCTCAGTAAAGACTGCTTGAAATCAGCAGAAGGCTCATGGAGGAGCCAGAGGTAAGCTGGGAAGTTCGCCCATGCCAGCCACCTTCCGGCCTGCAGTCCGAACCCAGAGTGGGAGTGGGAACCCACCGCTGGGGCAGACGGGGCAGGCAGAAGAGTGTGAACATGGATCGCCATTTTAGAACAAGGACCTTTCTTCAGTAAAGCCTGCTTGAAACCGGCAGATGGCTCCTGGAAGAGCCAGAGGTGAGCTGGGAAGTTTGCCCAAGATGCTCGCCAGTACCAGCAACACAGTGTCCCAAGGCATACGGCAAATTAGAAAACAGACAGTAAGGAGTAAAAAACCACACGCAATCCATCAACTCCTCAGGAAAAAAGCACACCACAAAAAGAAAACCACCTACCAGATTGCAACGACAGTAACTTGGAAGAACTTCTGAGTCTTCCAGAAAGAGAATTTAAAATTGCCGTGATTAAAAAACTGATAGAAGTCATAAAGGAAAACAATGATAAGGGAAAAATAATCAATGATCAGAAGAATGAAAATGAGTCCCTAAAGAGGGAAGTAAAAGAAATGCAGGGGATCAAAGAATTAATGGAGGCACTAAAAAAGTCTGGGAAAAGCAATGAAAGCAGAAAAGATGAAATGGAAGAACGAATAAGTACTCTTGAAGACACAGAAATAAAAACAACCAAAACAGAAAAGGAAAGAGAAGTACGAAGGAAAAAGACTGAAGAAAGACTTTGGGAACTCTCTGACTCCATGAGGAAAGGAAATATAAGAGTTATAGGAATCCCAGAAGGAGCAGAGAGAGATGTTGGAACAGAGAAAATATTCAAGTAGATAATTGAAAAGAACTTCGAAATGTGAAGGAGCTGAAAACTGATATACAAGAAGCAAGAAGAACACCAAACTTCCACGACGAAAGGAAAAATACAGCAAGACACATAATAGTAAAGCTCCCAAGAATCAAGGACAAGGAAAAAATAATGAAGCTAACAAGAGGGAAGAAACATATAACATTCCAAAGAAAACCAATCAGACTGACATCAGACTTCTCCGAAGAAACACTACGGGCAAGGAGAAAGTGGAGGGACATAGTCAACAGTCTCCAAGAAAACAGATGCCAACCAAGAATACTCTATCCCGCAAATCTCTCCTTCCTCTATGAAGAAAGAATAAGGACCTTCCCAGACAAACAGAAACCCTGGAATTTCATTACGACTAAACCCCCACTCCAAAAAATACTACAAGGAGTCCTAAAGCCAGAACCTCAGAGGGACGGACAACAACAAAAGAAGGTAAAAAAAAAAAGTTATTAAAAGAACAAATAAAATCAAAGGAAAGACAAACACAATGGCAAATATAGATGCTAACATATCAATATTAACTCTAAATGTAAATGGACTAAACTCTTTAATAAAAAGACACAGAGTTGCAGGCTGGATTAAGAAACAAAACCCAACCTTTGCTGTCTCCAGGAAACACATTTAGCTACAAAAGATAAAAATAGACTCAAAGTTAAAGGATGGAAAACAATCCTACAAGCAAATGGACCAAAAAAGAAAGCAGGAATAGCTATACTTATATCAGGTAAAACAGATTTCAAACTCAAAAAGATAAAAAGAGACCCCAATGGTCACTACATTATGATCAAGGGGACAATACTTCAAGAAGAAATAACACTCATTAATATATATTCACCAAACAAAGGAGCACCAAAATATATCAGACAACTCTTGTCATCTCTGAAAACAGACATCAGAAAAAACACATACATAGTGGGAGACTTCAACACACCACTATCAACAATGGATAGATCAACGAGACCAAAAATAAGTAAAGACACTAAAGCTCTAAATAAAGATCTAGAGCGCTTGGGCTTAACAGACATCTATAGAACACTAAACCCAAAAAAACCTGACTACACGTTTTACTCAAGTGCACACGGATCATTCTCCAGGATCGATCACATTCTGGGACACAAGACAAACATCAACAGATACACCAAGATTGAAATCATACCAACCATCTTTTCTGACCATGAAGGCATCAAACTAGAAATAAACCATAAAAAGAAGGCAAGGAACTCTCCTACCTCATGGAGATTGAAAACCACACTTCTGGAAGACCACTGGACTAATGAGGAGATCAAAGAAGAATTTAAAAAATTCTTTGAATTGAATGACAATGAGGACACCAATTTCCTAAATGTATGGGATGCAGCAAAAGCAGTAATAAGAGGAAAGTATATAGCAACAGAGGCTCACATCAAGAAACAAGAAAGAACTTAAAAAATCAACCTAATCTCGAAGCTCAAAGATCTAGAAAAAGAACAACAAACTGGAACGGGGTGGTCCCAGGGAAAGGTGATGTCCCAGTTCCCCTGTCCCACCCAAAAAGGTGTGAAGCTGAGCAGGGAGAAGTTGGAGAAGAGACTAGAGAAGGAAGAAAGAAAGATGGAGAGCCAGACGGAGACCTGAAGGAGGCACACAGAGCAAAGAGACATGTGAAGAAGCTGCACTTGCTTCTCTGCCTTGGCCTTGTACCATGGATTTGAGCAACATGTAAGGAGACACTTGAAACAGACATGGGTAAAAGACCCATAAGGAGGTTAACAATGTCAGCCTTTATATTGATTTTGATTTTGCTATTTTCCTTCCAGACTCGTCTGGCTGTTTCTGCCTCTTTCCTGTGGGTTCCCACCAAAAGATGCCTTACACTTGTGGCAAGTTTTGGGGCCTCAGCTGCCCCACTTTGGGCCAACCCTGTTTGACTGGGTATTTACCCATGAGGGGATGGGTAACTTTGGGTGCTTGATTTGGAAACTTTATCTTTCCCATCTCGTCTCTTTATTGCAAACTAATTATATTCAAGTTACTTTCCATTAAAGGTCTTGCACACTAGAATATGTTTTCTCTTGATGGGAGAACAGATTTATAGAAGGCAGGTTTGGGGGTCCTGGGATGCCCCTGACCCTGCCCAATAACAAAATCTTTCTTAATAACCAAGTTGTGATATAACAAGATCCCCAACTTCTGGGATGTCATAGATTTCAAAATGCTGAATATTGTATTTTGAATATAGATTATTCCCTCAGAATTTTTGAGAGGTTATTTTCAAATGAGAGTTTTATTTATACCAATTAGATATTATCCATTGAGTTTGATTATGTTTTGTGTTATTTCAGGAATATTTAGTACCTGTTCTGCTGTGAGGTGTATTTACACCTTGGTTTCAACAAGCTTTTCATATAATAAATTATGTACTAGTGAAAACAAGAGAGTGGGAGATATCCTTATGTTGTTTCTATTAAAAATAGCACCAACTTTCAAAGTCATACTTAAAAAAAATGCTTGCAATATACTTTGTTCATTAATGCTTATAAGAGTTGCTGAAATCTTACTTCTTTAGAAATACCTTGAGGTAGGCATGAAATATCCATAATATAATGAAATATTATGGTAATAAAATTAGTATCTTATGGAAGAAATTAAACTTTCAATAGTTTGCAAACAGAAGCACAATTTATTTCACAGAAAGTCATGAGTAAACAAAAATATATTTACATTAGAATATATAATATACTGTATAAAAATTACTT